AATCCCTTCCAGGGCACTCTGCCCCCAGGCCTCTGCTGTCCTCTAAGAAAAACCAAAGCACGCCAAGTGACACCAGTTCTTTATTGGGAGTTCAGCAGGCTTTTTCCCACCATGGTCTCATTCGAGCACATGCTCTGTTGAGCCCGCCCAGCCTCAAAGTAGCCCCCCCTCTCCTATCACCAGCCACAGTCGGGGGACAGCCGGTGGCCGCTCTACATGTCACCAGCTGTGATCCTGGGGACAGGTCCCTTCACACGTCCCCCGCCTCAGGCAAAATGGGTTAAGATATCAGGGGCAAACCTGGGAGATTCCAAATGGAAGGGGTGCAGGAGAGAGGGGAGGCGGTGTGGGCGGCATGCCCAGGACGACCCCAGGGCAGAGCTGGAGCAGGTCCTGAGCAGACCCCTGAGCAGAGGTTACTGGGGGCAGGAGGGTCCCGGGGGACAGTCCTTGAAGTATTCGTGGCAGTAGGTGCAGAGGCAGGCCAGCGAGCGCACGTACTCCACAAAGTCCACCTCGCCGTCCTTGTCGGCATCCAGGACACTCATGAATTTACTGTAGTCACACTCCCGAAACTCCGTCTGTGTGTGTGTGGGGGGGGGGCGGAGATGGAGGTTATGGGGGGGGCAGGATGCCTCACACACGCCGCTTCCCTGCCCTACTCCTGGGTGGTCCCACCCATCCCAACCCACAGCCCTTCTGGGGGCCAATCTCACTGACCTGCTCTGATAACTCACCATGCCAACACCCCATCCCCCTCCCAGATCATTTATGGAGCACCCAGTGTTGCTGCTGAGTGCCTACTGTGTTTCTTCCCTCTGCTCTCTCTCCATCCTCCCAACAGCCCTGCAACACGGCAGGTGTAATAAGGAAACGGATTCCCACCCTGTCACTTTCCTGCCTGGTGTCCTCGGCCCATGGTCTGGCCTCCCCCACCTCTTTCTGTCCTCTGCCCAGCACTTGTCCCAGGTGTCTCTTAGCAGAGCCCAAGCAGTGCTTCCCCGCAGGCTGGGCACCCCAGGTGCTCACCGGAGTCCAGGTGGGCAGCTCCTTCTGTACCAGCTCCTTGAGCTCCGCCTGGCACAGCTTGTGCTTGTCCCCGCAGCGCCCTGCGTATTCCTGGAAGGTGCACACGATGGCAGCCACCGCCTGCTCCAGAGGCCTGGCCATCCTCACTGTCACGGAACAAGGATGTGACCCACAGCAGAGGCCCGCTCAGCCCCCCTGCACCTCTGTGCTCCATGTTCCCAGGACTGCTCCCAGACCTGTCTTAATCTCCACCAGGCTTCCGGGCACACAAGCCCTCCTCCTCCAAGCAGCCCTCCCTGACCACACCAGCACCTCCTGATCTATTTCCCTACTGCACCCCCATTGTTATTTTCCTGAACAGGGGTCCCATTTCCCCAACATCACTGGGAACCCCTCAGGGAGAGTGTTCTCCCCCGGCCCCCTCACGGCAGACTCCTGATTCTCTCCACCTTTCCTCATTCCCGACACCCAGGAAGGACTCAGTCCCACTCGGCATCACCCCATGACAAGCAGCTCCAGCCCTGGAAGGCTCCTCCCCTTTAGGACCCCAGAGCTGCTTCTGTAGGAACTCGTTCACCCCTCACCCCCAGCGCTATCTGTCCTCGGGCCCTTGGAGGGGTCAGGTCTGAGAGACGCTCCCACCACCTCACCACCCCTCACCGTCCCTCCTCCCCCAAACTCAGGGGAACCTCATCCAGAAAAGATGCCCCTGGGATCCTCTCTGTCTCTCACTAGCTGTGCAATCCTAGGTGAGCCATTTACCCCTACCTGGGTCTCAGGTGCCTTATCTGTAAAGTAAAGTCAATCCCACCTCACAGGCCTAGCAGGGGAGTAAGCTCAGGTATTTACCAGTCTGTGATCTGCCCCACCTGAGGCCATCCTCCTGATCCCTGGGGGTCTTGAGACAGAAGGCTAATAAGGGTACCCTGTTCTGTTAGAGGGGAAGCTCTTCCTGGAATTGCCCACCCCCCCTCACCCCATTCCACTGGCCCCTTCCACCGCCCTGCTGGGAGGACGCCTCCAGCCTGGTAAAACCCTGTGGCAACCAGGAAGACAAGTGTTGTTTTCATGCGAGCCCAGTGACTCACCCCGGTTCCCCCAGGGAATGGAGTCTTGCAACAAGGGAGCCAGAGCCAAGCCTCTCCCCCTAATGAGTCCCCCTTTGCTGGGCCCTTAGAGCAAATGGCCAGCATGGCCGTGGCTATGGAAAGAAGGGGAGGAAAGGGGTGATGGGACCAAGCACTTCCTGGGGTCTAGGCCCAGGACTGGAGCAGGCTGTCCGGGTTCCCAGGAGAGGAAAGGGCCATGATCCCAGGGACTAGGGAACCTCAGCGGCGCTCAGCTGCCCTTCTGGGCTCCCGCCAGCCTGCCTGGCGCCACTACTGCTGCTTTTCCAGAAGCTCGGTGCCTGGAAACCCGAGGGAATCCTCTGCTCCCCAAGCAGCCTGGCCTGTCTCAGCCCGTTGGGAGAAAGAAGGAAGGAGGCGAGGAGAGAGGGAGGGAGCTAACTCAGGGCAGCACCGGTGCCTTCAGCCCATTGGCCCCTCCCCAGAGCCAGACCTCAGCCCTGCACACCCCCTAACCAAAACTTCCCGACAGCCCCTCACCGTACAAGAGAACCTCTGAGTTCAGCATATCTGACTTCCCGCACCCCATCAGTCCCAGCGGTCCCTCCACCCCCATGCCCACACCCTGGACCAGGGGACCAACACCCAGTCCAGAGCAGGACCCACGCCGCTGGCACTCACCACTGGGGTTGGAGGTTCAGATGTAGGAGCCTAGAGACAGCACAGCCCTATTTGTAGTCTCCCAACGAAGGAAGGGGGCAATTATGGGGGGCCCAAGTAGGTCAAGCTGAGGGTGCCCCCGGGGCCTCCCTGCCTCCTTCCCTGGACATCCCTATTACAGACCCAACCGCCCACCTACCCATGCACACATCAAAGGCCCAGTCTGGGCCTCAGACACTGCACCCCTTCATTCCCCCTCTGCCCTCCCCCAGAGCTGGGAACTGGGGACAGCCTCCTGCCTGTACCCTTCTGTCGCAGGAGGAGACAGGCTGGGCTTGTCCCTCATATCTATCCCCTGTCCCCTCACTCTGAACAGGCACCCCAGAATACAAAGTGGGAACACACTCTAGCCTGGCATAAGTTTGTGCCCCCAGAGAACCCCTGTGCTAGGGGCTCTCCTACAGGAGCATCTGGTTAGGCCCTTCATTTCCAGGTGAGAAGGTGGAGGCCATGGGATACCCCCTGCCTGATCTCCAGATGTGTGTTTGGTAGCTTTGGGTTGGGAACTGCTTGCTGCCCTGGGGAGGGCATCTGTAGGATATGTTGGGGAAGAAAAAGTTCCCTCCTGCCCTTCCAGGTTCTTTGGCTGATCTAAAAATCAAATTAACCTAAGACAGATTCACAGGAGAAACTAATTTAATAAGAATATGGGGGGCCGGCCGAGTGG